AATAAGCTAGCTATTACGCTAAGTATAGTAGTAGTAGCCTCTAATTTCCCTCCTCTTTAGGAATATAGTAGGAGCTCTAAATCTTATTAAATATATTTAGGTTAGGGATAATATAGGGAAGAAAGGCTATAAACTAGTTAGTAAAGAAACTAAAGGTATACTTTAATAGGCGCTAGGCAGTATAGCAATAAAAATTACTATTAATCTATCTATCTATATAGCTAAGCCCTATCTTAGTATAATAGATAAAAAGGCTACTAAAGATTAAGTTTTTTAAGGTCTTACTAAATAAGCTAATAAAGAAACTTATATTAAGTATATAGTAGCCGCTAATATATATATCCTCTATAATAGTACCTATAAACTATAGTTCTAATATAATATCTATAAAGCTTCTAATTATAACTAAGGTTAATATAACTCTGCTTTAAAGTCTATTAAGGTTAATATAGTCTTTAGATATAATATTTACTATAAAGCTAGTATTAATAATTTCTAACTATTCCTTAACTAAGTAATATCTAATTTAAATAGCTACCTAAAAGTGAGGTATAATGAAGTTACGTATAATAACTACACGCCTTCTATTAGAGTAAGGCGTAACTCTAGGTTAGGGTTACTAGGAGTCTTCTATAGCTAAGACCTTAATATTAGTTAGTCTAAAGCTTTATAGCGTTAATATATCTACTATATTTATATTAATATAGTAGTTTCCTTTAATAGGTTATAGCTCTTCTACTAGTATATTAGTACTACCCTTTATAGATCTAAAATTGCTATTCTTAGGCTACTATAGGTTAGCTCTATATTCCTTATCTTATTTCCTCATAAGTTCCTTAATGCTCACTTCTTAGCCTTTAACTTACGTATAAGTATTAGCTAAAGCTAAGTTAGTAGTAACTATATTACTGCTATATACTGTTATGCCATGGTTCAGGATTTCCCCGTGATTTCCCAGAGGGGATTAAGCGCGGAATTCCCCGGGATTTCCCCGGGATTTCCCCGGGAAACTGTATATAGAATCCTAAGAGATTTCCCGGAGATTTCCCTAAGATTTCCCTAGGAAATACTTAGAGTATTCCTCAGAGAAATCTCCTAGGAATCCCTTAGAAGAGGCATCGCAATATTACATCTTTTTACCTACGCCTACGCGTAACTATTGGTAGCACAACCAATTTCTGGCTAATAGAGCGGCGACGCCATTTAGACCAGCAGAAAGAAGAGCTGATAAAGCATTGACTCTTTCTGATCTCATCAGGATAGGTGATAAACCGATAACCCTGCTGAGAACGTGCTGCAATCGCTGCGTTTATGGACTTGAGGGAACCACAAGATATTCCTTGGGATCCTGAGGAACTGTCTATGCCCTTAGACCCCTTCAGTGCCGCCAAATTCCTTTACAGTTATCAAGTTTACTACGACCGGCTCCGCCTTCTCGTTACACCTACCTTTCCCGTCGATCGACTTCTGTTGGTGGTGAAATCCGCCTTCGACGCGAAGAGAAATCAGTACCCGATCACGGAGGAGGCTAAGAAGAACACCAAGACTTACTCAACTCATCCAAGTCGGTTCGAGAAAAACATCCTCACCTGGCTAGATAGGGAAGAGTATTATCGAACAGTCATCTTCAACCGCCTCAAGAAAGGGCTACCGCTTCAACAGTACGACGACATGGAAGCAAGCAGCAGCAAAGCTCCAACCGGACAACCTTCGAACTCGCCCTTATCACGAGAAAGCCAGAACACCCAGGAACCGGTTGCCCCGATTTCAGCGGATCCGCCAGAGACCCTGACAGCCCAGGGAGAACCGCATGCCGCCATCGAAATCCCAGGAACGCAAGGGGCAGCTGAGACACTTCATCCCTTGACAGGCGAACCCCCAACGGGAAGCCTACGCCCAGCTAGCGCACCGCCACCAGGCAATATGTCTCACTCCGAACCGCCCGCAAAGCCGCGGTATGGAATCTCCGACACCGACCAAGATTTCCCCATGGTTTACCATGCACGGTACCCGAAGTTTCCAACCGGAACGCCACGGAACAAGCGCCGGGAAACCAGCCGGGCTTCTTCCACTAAGATGGGCAAGATACCGTGGAAAAGACCGCCGAAGTCGGAGCCGTCCGGTGACGACAGCAGTGCCGGAGGTAACGGAGCCGAGAAGGTTTTCCGGGGTAACATTCGATTTCGCGTGGAAGAAATCGGATGGTTCAAGCCAACGTCAAGATACGACAACCTCGAGTACAGTCAACTGGAAGGCACCAAAACTATTTGGATAAGTGTTGAGCGGTTCATCGATTCATTCGAACGATACGCTCTCCAGTCTCCGCAACACGCCATCGCTGCCACTACCAACCTGCATTTCTGTCTGCTAGGCACGGCGCAGGACTGGTTCGCTGGAGATTTATCTCCAGAACAGCGAGTGTTATTGCGTAGCCCTCACGACGGACTGGATTTATGGGCGAAATGGCTGCTGAAACGTTTTCGCATGCCTCGCGCTATCGCGCACGCTCACCTGAATCGCCTTTGGTACACCTTGGAAGACGTAAGGGACAATGAGGATCTCAGACACTTCGCGGCTAAGGTCAGCCGACTGGCGTATGCCTGCGACTATCCGAAGTCCCAGATACTTGGGCTGGTTTACGACCGAATTGACTCTAATCTGATTGCCGGACGACCCCGACCAACTGGCCAGGAGGACCGAGACCTTTGGCTCCAAGAACTTACGGATTGCCAGGAAGGTTGGAGAAGAAACGTCACTCGAGGAGGATGGAAATCCCTGGTGAGGCCAATCAAGAACTCCGCAGCCTCGCCTTCCACCGGGAAATCCTGGTACTCACGGAACAGAGTCCAAGACCCCTCCAGCTCAGCCCGCGTCAAGAAGGAGTCCACCAACTGGGCCAGCGATCCGGTTCCCCGACCTAGGGAAAACCAGGAGAACGACAAGGAAAGGCCTCGTAACCGCCCCTGGAACAATTCCAACCGCCCCTGGAACAAATCCAACCAGCCAAACTTCCAGAAAAGGTTGGTGCACCAGTACAAGAAGGACGGCGCAAACGCCACACAGGACGTGTACGTCCAGAATCGCGACGGAACTATCAACACCGCGATCATGAAGGAAATGGAGGAACAAGGATATCACATGGTACACGCGTACTATCCCGATCCGCCAGCCGACCTTGAGGACGCCAGCTCGGACAACGACGCCTCTGACGAAGAGGAAACCGAGCCGGAGGAGGAAGCGAACTTCGTCAACGATGATTCGGTGGAGAATGACCACTGGTACATCCCCGAATACGACGACACCTTTTTCCTGTCCAGTCGCTGTCGTGACTGCTTCCTTCTCATGGATAAGAAAAAGCAGCAGCAACGCGATCACTGTTCAACCTGCCAGGATACGATCATCACTACCCCAAAACAACGACCTCTGGAAAGCAAGCCATGGAATGCTCAAAACCCCCACGATATCCCGTGCAATACCACTTACGCAAGGATCCAAACCAACTTGGGCTTAGATGGTCCACAGATGGAGGCTTGCGTCGACACCGGAGCTTCGCGATGCGTCATCCGGGAGGATATTCTTCTCCTAATCCCGGGGCATACCATCGATAGAAGCAAGAAGAAGAAGCTCTCCGGTGTAGGACAAGTTCAAACACTCGGCTGGGCCAGTTTCGACTTGTACGTTCGAGGAATGCAGAACGGCACTCCAGCAGCCGCCGTCCTTCACTTAGAAGGATGGGTTGTCAAACGCCTAGGCGCAGGCATACTAATCGGCCAAGAATTCAACGTTCACAATGGACTTGACGTTCTGAACTCGCAAGGAATGATCCGCATAAGCGCGTGCAACAATCTCGAGATTCCTGCCATCATCTTCGCCAAACGTTCGCCAAGGAACCACGCCGCTCGAGCAAATACGAACATGACAATTCCGCCCCGCTCAGGAGCGCTGGTCCCCATTTACGCGGCGCAGGGTTTAAAACAGAGTCGCTCCTGTTTCGACCCAAGCATGGCAGCGTAATGAACACCGTAGTGGGTCGAGATTCCCTGGTTCTTATTGCCAATCACTCCTCAGAAATGATGAGGATTCAGCAAAACCAGCGACTGGGAACCCTCCAACCATTGGAAGGAGATGTCACCATGTCGACGGCAGCGTTCTTAGACGCAGAACCAGGGGACACCATAAACCATACTTCTGAAAACACTTCGGATGATTTCCCGGAGATTTCTCCGGTAAACGAACCATCACCCGGAGACGAGGATATCTTCAAGGACCACCTCAACAAAGATCAGAAGATTGGCATCAAACAAAATAAAGAACACGAAGGAAAGCACACGCCGGAAGGAGTAACTGTTTTTAATCGCGATGATGCTTTTGTTACACGCATGAACCGTATTGTTGCCGATTTCCCTTCCATTTGGAAGCTCACAGGACCTATCAAGGTCACCCCCGAGGAGGAAATGACCATTCCCCTCATCCCTAATTATCACGAACACAAGATCGGCCAACGACCGTTCCCGGTTGGAATAGAAGACCAGGAATTTATCAACGAAAAGATGGACGACATGCATGACCGCGGACAAGCTAAATGGGTCAAATTTCCCACACCATTCGGCGCTCCCATCTTTGTGGTATGGAGGACAGTTGACGGGAAACGGAAAGGACGGATGGTCGTCGACCTCCGAGCCCTGAATAAGGTCACCATCCCAGATGCTTACCCCTTGCCCCTCCAATCGGAGGTAATCCGGAAGGTTAGAGGCAAGAAATACATCACCAAAGTCGACGCCCGAATGTTCTTCCATCAATTTCCGGTTAAGAAGGAGCACCAAGAAAGACTCACGATGGTCAGCCATCGCGGACAAGAAATGTCAACTGTAGCGCCCATGGGATTTAAGAACTCTCCAGCCCATGCACAGCGCTTCATCGACACCCTCTTAAGGGACTTCCAAGCCTTCGCCTGGGCCTTCATCGACGACATCGTCATCGCCTCCGAAACAGAGGATGAGCATGAAGCCCACTTGAGGGCAGTCTTCAAGGTATTGGAGGAACGAGCGGTCACTCTTTCGCCAGACAAGTCCTTTATCGGTTTCCCATCCATCGAACTACTTGGTTTCAATGTGGATGCTTTCAACCTTTGGAACACAGAGGATCGAGTACGCGCCCTTAAGCTTGTGGAATTCCCCAGGAATCTTTCCTCTCTGGAGAAATGGCTGGGCTCCACCGGATATCTGCGTCACCTTGTGGCTAGATATAGCGCCCGCAATGAGCCGCTGCAAACCCGCAAAACCAACTTGTTAGCAGAAGGCAGACGTCAAGGGAAGCACACCGGGTCCGCCAGGAAACATTTTTGCGAAAGCACTACTTTCCAGCCAACTCAAGGGGAACTAGACTCGTTTGAGGACGTCAAGCAAGCGCTCATCGAAGCCAGTGCTCTATTTCACCATGACCCAAACCGTACGCTGTTCATACAACTGGATGCTGCTCACGAGCGAGGTTTTGGAGCCATGCTGTTCCACCTAAAGCGTGGTACGGAATGGAAGCCAGGCACTGCGATACCACGAACGGCAGTAGAACCTATCATGTTCCTCAGCCGATCGTTGTCCAACGCCGAGCAAAAATACTGGCCAACCGAGCTGGAGGTTTCATGCCTGGTCTGGACAATCCATAAAGCCCGCACGCTGGTCCAGTCCGCCCGGAAAAATCCGTCCATCGTCCTAACGGACCATGCTTCCACGGCCGGGGCTATGCAGCAGACAACGCTGTTCACCACGGACCGGAGACGAGCCAACCTCCGCCTGGTTCTCGCAGCAGAGTTCCTTTGCCAGTTTCAACTCCTATACATTCACATCCCAGGAGTCACGAACGTAGTGGCTGATATGCTTTCTCGAATTCCATCAGGCAACGATCATCCAGACCCAGAGGAACCAGGACAGCTCGACAAAATATGGGACGAGTCCGCCATTTACTGGTCCACCGACGTGGGGATTTCCCCGGAAATGCGCAAGCGTATCCGGAGAGGATACAAAGATGTGCCCAAGTGGAAGGGATACATCGATATGCTGAAAACCGCAGACCCCGACTTCCACTTGCCCTTCAACTTGGACCAAGGACTGCTATACTTCGTGGAAACCAGCGGAAAACAAAAACTCTGCGTTCCAAACGAAGTAGCTCAAGACCTCATCGCAGCCGCCCACGACGAGAACCAGCACTACGGTGACAAGAGAGTGTGGTACGAACTGCAAGACAAGTTCGTCATCAACAACATGATGACCAAGATCAAGAAATACCGCAAAACTTGTCCCGTATGTGGACCACTCGGGAAGGATAGAGGCAAACCGATCGGCAGCCTTCAGCCCATCATAACACCCCCAATTCCCTTCCACACAATCACAATGGACTTCATCACAGGACTACCTGAGGTTTCCGCCGACAACACCATCTGGAAACTACCAGGATTTGCCTTCTACGACTCGGTGATGACTGTCACTGACAAGTTCTCCAAGTCCACCATGATTGTGCCGGGAAACACCTCGTACACGGCTGCAGAATGGGCGTCGGTCCTCATCAAGATGCTCATGCTCTGCAACTGGGGAATTCCCCGCAGCATCATCTCAGATCGGGACCCCAAGTTTCTGTCGGAATTCTGGCAAACTTTGTGGAAGGAAATGAACACCAAGCTGAAATTTTCGACGGCATACCACCCACAGACCGATGGCCAGTCCGAAAGGAAGAACCAAACGGTCGAGGCATGCCTCCGAGCCTGGTGTATGACTTTCCCTGACAAAACCTGGATCCACGGCATCGTGTCTATCCAATTCAGCCTCAACAACGCATATGTAGCCACAATCAAATGCTCCCCCAACGAGCTCGTGTATGGCTTCAAGACCAACGGGCCACTAGACCTCTTAGGCGATGTCAACATCATTTCCAACCGCGACTTGCTCCAGGAGGAAGCGAAGATCTCCATCGCGGAGGGGCAGATGCATATGAAACAAATTTTCGACAAAGAACATCGACATATCGTGTTCGGACCGGGAGATTTCGTACATCTCCGCCTCGGAAAAGGGTATCGGCTACCAGGGAAACCGTCGCCAAAAACATCCCCCCAGTACACCGAACCGATCAAAGTGCTCGAACGAGTCGGACCGCTGGCGTATCGGTTGGACCTCCCACCGACAATGAACGTCCACCCAGTTATTTCGATCGCGTATCTCATCCCAGCAACGAACCCGCAGGACGATCCCTTCCGCAGAACGCCGCTACCAGCCATCCCGGTTGATGTAGACGACCCAAGGCAAGCCGAATGGAGGGACTGGTTCGCGCATTACGAGATCGAAAGGATCCTAGACAAGCGCGTTCTCCGTCGAGGTAGAGGATCGAGTAAAACGCAGTATCTGATTAAGTGGAAGGATTTCCCGCATTTCCACAACGTGTGGATGGACGCGGACGCTATGGAAGCCAATGAGTTAGTTGAATCGTTCGAACAACAACTTGCGGAAGCACAAACCAGACGCGACCGCAGCAAACCCATTTTGATTCCATCTGCCGAACAATCCCCTTCTTTGGAACCAGGGGAATTGCCGGCCGACAATCGGAGAAAGAGAGGCAGACCAAGGCGCAGCGAAGGAACAATCCGCCTGCACACATCTGAAAGGATTTCACCAGGATTTCCCCGGAACAACGGACAAGGGAATTCTCCGGGAAACCAAAGAGCGGCGTCCGTGCGTCCAGATCGACAAAGTGGATCGTCTCCTGGGGAAGCGCCCCGTCGTTCGCGCAGGCTGGCCGCTGGCCAATAGAACTGCACGGTCTGAACAGCGCCTTCTGAGAGCCTCAACACCACAACGGCAGGCACGACGACGCTGAACAGCTCTTTCCTCGAGAAATCTCCAAGAAAGAGCGCGCCAAGCCCCACTTTTAGCAACGGCACGCCCTCTGCCTTTCACCTTTTGTTTTTTTTTCGACCGCCCACAACTTTTGTTTTTCCTTCTCCTCTTCACCATCACCGGCCCGCGTTGCCCCCTCACTACAAGAAGGGAACGCGCCCACGACACGGTCATTACTTTCACCAAGCCTTCAACGAGATATGCCTCGTTTCAGATTTGTCCCAAACCTTACACATCAATTCCCGTCCAAGGACCATCTTTACCGCACCAAGTACTACCCCTACTTCGAGCGCAATCGCGACCCCCGCGACCTCAGTTTCGAGGGATACTTCCGCGCCATCTGCATCTACGGAGGCGAGGAAGAGCTGTTGAGAAACGGCAAGGTCGCCAGATCCGCCATCACCAATCTCCTGAAGAACGACCCCGCCTGGGCCAACAATTACCGCCGCCAAGCCGTCCAGCTGGGATATTCCGACCCTGAGCGTTCGCAAATCCAGTTCACCATCTTTTGGTCGCGAAACTACTTCGATACTTCTGAGGACGTGAACGTCGCTCGCCAAGTCTACGCGGAGAACCCACAGCCGAACATCGTTTTCACCAAGGGTCACGAGACACTCCCAGTCCTCGAGAACTGGCCAGCCTGCCCAATTCCCTGGTCGCCAGCTCCCGTGCCCGGCGCCCGTACCGCTAACCTCGCGCCTCAGACCTCAATTCCTGAAGAGGACTCCGACCTTTCCGCGGACGCTCAAGACTCCTCATACGAGTCGGATTTCTCGGAGAATTCCCAAGAAGAAGACGACGACGTGCCCAGCATGGCTCCCACTCCCACCGGCAACCGCACTCCCGGCAGTGCCCGCCTGCGCAACAGCCGCGGCCAGTACACCAAGGAGGAGGACATCAACCACCTTCTCGCCGTGGTTGAGTCGATCTACAAGGCTACTGCGGACTTCACCAACAAGGACCTCGACCAGAAGAAGTACCACGACGTCCTGATGAGCCTCATCAAGAAGAACCCGAACGTGCCCGAGAAGCTGCGGGAGTCTCTCCTTGGCAAGGATATCCAGGAGATGAACGCGGAAGAGTACTCTGCTGCCCTCATGCAGTCGGCCAAGGCCTCTGGCAGCAAGAAGCGTCGCTTCAACGAGATTGACGACACGCCCGTCGGCCGGGGCGTCCTGTTCCCATCCACGCCCCAGACCGCCGCTGCCGACAAGACCGCCGAAGCCCCCAGCGCTTCCAACGCCGCGCTCGAGAAGATCAAGGAGAAGGACCGCCTTCTCGATTGGCAGCGACACTTGAACAATACCTTCCGCGACAACATCGCTTCGCTTCGTACTCGAATCGAACCCGACTTCTTCTACCTCCTCCCTTGGGGCGCGGACCTTCACCTCGTCACGCTCGATTTTCAGGGCGTTATCCACTACAAGCTGGTTGCAGCGACCCTGCACAAGATTCTCTCCACCCTCCAAGACACCAAGTCCCTCGTGATCGACTTCAGCCTCTTGAGCCTGATTGACCTGCTCAAGAGCAACGCCCTTGTCGCCGAATTCTCCGTCCGCCGGGCCAAGGAGAACAAGCTGCGATTCGCCTGCGACGCCGATGACGAGGAGCTCATGAAAGAGGTTCGTGAGCAGAACATCGCGGAGGAGTCCTGGATGCTTTTCGCCTCTTTTTCCTTCGGCCAGACCAAGGGTTACCAGGCCCTTCGCCGCGCTGCGGCCGATGACGTCCTGGCCTGGGCTGCGATCAACAAGTCCCGCGACGACTTCATTGAATTCCTGGAGATCACGGACGAGGAATACGATGACGGCATCGCCGCCGCTTCCAGCCGGGCCAAGCCCAAGATGTTCACCACCCCCAAGAAATGAACACATGGGGACTACGTCAAGGCGGAAGTTTGCACGCGGTGACATCGACAGGAAGGAAGAAGCCTACGGGCCGGATTAGGTAGACAGATACGGAAAGCGAAATGAGACGGATTTCGCAGGATTTGCTTTCTTGATGGTTTATTTCTTTCGTGATTTCTGCGTAGTTTTGCTCTTAGTATTCTTCTCCTGTAAACCTCACCGCACTCGAATTCTCCCACATCACTTCCCACGGCCAAGCTGGCCCAGCGACTTCGCTTACCAGCAGCGCTGGTCCGGGCAAACATTTTCCGCCCTTTCGCCACGACTTCCACTCAAACCGTCGCTCGACGACGCCACCGGGAAGGCTCGTCAACGAACTTCCTGAATCCGCACGGTCGCCATCGCCATCGCCACCGTTCCTCCACAAGGTTCGCTGCGAATTCCCCGCCAACTCGCGCTATTGCAATCGCCATCGCTTCCCCGCGATTTCGCCGCGATTTCCTCGCAAAATCGTGTGGTCGCTACCACTACCGTTTCTCCGCGATTTCACTACAATTTCCCCCTGTTGGAACGGCTCGCTGGCGTTGAGGTTCGTGGACGAAACTCACTCTTTTTGTGGAGGGGCAATTGTTATGCCATGGTTCAGGATTTCCCCGTGATTTCCCAGAGGGGATTAAGCGCGGAATTCCCCGGGATTTCCCCGGGATTTCCCCGGGAAACTGTATATAGAATCCTAAGAGATTTCCCGGAGATTTCCCTAAGATTTCCCTAGGAAATACTTAGAGTATTCCTCAGAGAAATCTCCTAGGAATCCCTTAGAAGAGGCATCGCAATATTACATCTTTTTACCTACGCCTACGCGTAACATATACTTAGTCTTAATATCACTCTATATATACTGTTATATATTAGAACTTAAGTTATCTATATTTTAGCTAGTTATCTAAGAGAAACTATTCTAGTAGAGTGATATTATCTATTTACTTTTTGCTATAAAGAGCTATAGCTTAAGAGTAGGTTTCTTCTAAGTCTAAGAAGAGGGTTATTTAGTGTAGTTCTTTAGTCTCCTCGTAGTAAGTAGGTCCTTATAGCTAAGGTTATAAAAAGACCTATATAATTATTTTATCTTTAACTACTTCCTCAACTTAGGTACCTCCTATAGGTATAACGCCTTATTAAGTTGAGATCTAGTCTATAAAGTAAACCTTTCTTACTAAGGAGTTATTATATAAGGTATATTAAAAGTTATTATTCTTTATTCTAGTAATAGCGTTAACCTCTACTAGCTCTTTATCTCTTATATAGTTAATATTAACTATATAGCTATATGCGTACTTAATATTAATATAATTAATAGTAGTTATTAATACTTATTATCTAGCCTCTTCTTATTCTCTCTAGGCTTTATTTATTATAACTATAGCCTCTTAATAATAGATAGATAATTCTAGGCTAGGTATTTACTCTAAGTAGTACTTATTATAGAATTACTTCACTATTACTTCTAACTAAAAATATACTTTACTTTAGAGGATATAGGCTTAAATAGTTGCTAGGTTAGGTATTAAATTCTTCTATCCTTTATTAATAATATTATCTTAAATAATATTATAATTAGTATAAGAGCTAATATATTATCCCCTTAAGTAGTATACTACCTTAGTATTCCTTAACTTATCTATAATATTATATTTAGCTGTGTAGTATCTATTTATTCTATAGGAGTAGTAACCCCTAATCTTAAGTATATTATACTATATCTAGTTTATAGTAGTTAAGCTTATAAATTAGCTAGCCTCTCTTTACTATTTATAACTCCCTTATACTATAAATACTTAGTTTATATCTATAATATAACTATTTTATACTAGTTTAAGCTGCTAGCTAATATTTATACTTAGCTTCTAAATGTTAGCTATAAGCGCCTTTATTTATTCCTTAGTATCTTTATTATTAAGAGATATTTAGTATATCTACTCTTAAAGAGTAGTAACTTTATCTAAGTTTACTGCTTTTAAGTTACTATATTACTACTAAATATAGGTAACTTATATAGGCTAGTTAATAAGTTTAATAAGACTAGTAATTAAGAGAGGAGTAGTTACTTTTATAGCCTTCCTTCTATTAATATATATATAAGAGGTCTCTCTAGCTACTTATTTAATAATTATATGCTTAATACTTAGCTAAAGTTTCTAGAGTAGGTCTATAATATTATAAGAGAGAGCCTTTATAGTAGCCTTAATAGTTCCCTTTAGTAAGTACCTATAAATAAGGCGAATAAGATTTTAGTTTTAATACCTTAGGAGTTCCCTTATAATAACCTTATAGTATAAACCCTTAATATAATTAAAGAAAGCTATAATACTAATAATATCTATCTTAGAGAGGGGAGGCTTATCTTTAATTACTTAAAGCTCTTTATTAAGGTCCTAATAGAAGCTTTTATCTATAATATTATACTAGTTAATAAGGGTAGCTTTAGTAGCTTCCTAATTATTAAGGTCTTTAATTAGTAATTTAATACCTTACCTTAAGTCTTTAAGACTATAGAGGTAGACCTTTATTAGCTTATCCTTATTAGTCTAATAAGCTTTATAAGACTAAGAATTATAAGTTTTAATAAAATCTATAATATTATTACTTATAAATATAGGAGTATTCTCATTTAGGAAGGGATTTATTATAATTAGTATAAGATATTAAAGGTATAACTCTATTAGTTATTTAATAATTCCTATTAACTAGTCTATAGAAATAAAATAAGTATTACTAATAAGAGCTATAAGCTACTACTAGACTTTATAGGTATTATTGCTTAAAGTATAGTAAGGATTAATACTAGAGGCTTATTCCTTACTTCTATTAGCTTTAGTATAGAGGTAAGTATTATTAGTAGTATAGTTAACCTCAGTGAG